TATCCCTACAGACAAAAATCAGAGGATACAACTGACGATTTACTATAAAACCAGAAAAACGGCCAGCCTACTCATGAGAAACTCTCCAGACACAAAACAGAACGCTTTAAAAGAGACTAACGTCGTCTATGCCTTCAAATGCCCACTTGGGGACTGTAAGCTCCAAAAACCCAGTATATAGGCAAGACAACAACATCTCTTTCTAGGCGTTTAACGATGCATAAGCAACAGGGCTCCATTAAGGAACATATAATCTCTTCCCATAACCAAACCATCGCCAGAGAAATCCTAGTAAAAACACAGAAATCATCGATAGATACAGCGATAGCAGGCGGCTTGACGTTTGCGAGGCACTACACATCAAGAAGTCAACACCAGCAATCAACAGCCAATTATTGCACAACTATATTCTACCCACCTCAAGACTCCGCTCCAATATAGAAGCATCAAGAAATATGGACCAATAGGCTTTCTACAAACACTTCTATTCAATACCCATTGTTTCTGTTCTGTCTTGTGTTGATACTTTTAATACCCTATTAATATCCCCTCATGTTCTGTCTTGTGTTAATGCCACATCACTATATGCCACATCATCCCTCCCACCTCACTCAAATGTAGATATAATAGCAGAGATACGTAAGTTCTAATCAGTTGTGTATTTGTGAAGTCTTTGAAAATGTAATAAGTTTTACGAAACGCGCCCGTGTCGCGTCAGACTAGAAATAAAAATGAATTTTGGAGAAGTGATTTTTGATTTACCTCCAACAGTGAAGCGTAATGTACGAAAGATTGAGAAAATTCGTGTTAGAATTATTAATCTTACTTTTTCGGTCATATTTAATAATATATGTCTACAGGAAAGACTGCTACCAAAATATACTATATATATATATATATATATATATATATATATATATATATATATATATATATATATATATATATATATATATATATGATATTTGATGTATACTTTTTGATGTGTAGACACATCAAAAAGTCAACACTAGCAACCAGCAATCAACAGCCAATTAATGCGCACAACTATATTCTACCCACTTCAAGAGCCCCAACCATCATAGAAACAGCAAGAGGATGTGGCAAGATAACAGTGGTGTGTTGTAGTCACAACAACGTGAGGCAGGATAACAGAGGTGTATTGTAGTCACCGGGAGGCAGGATAACAGAGGTGTATTGTGGTCACTGGGAAGCAGGATAACAGAGGTGTATTGTGGTCACTGGGAAGCAGGATAACAGAGGTGTATTGTAGTCACAGGGAGGCAAGATAACAGTTGTGTATTGTAGTCACCGGGAGGCAGGATAACAGAGGTGTATTGTGGTCACTGGGAAGCAGGATAACAGAGGTGTATTGTAGTCACAGGGAGGCAAGATAACAGTTGTGTATTGTAGTCACTGGGAGGCAGGATAACAGAGGTGTATTGTAGTCACTGGGAGGCAGGATAACAGAGGTGTATTGTTGTCACTGGGAGGCAGGATAACAGTTGTGTATTGTAGTCACTGGGAGGCAGGATAACAGAGGTGTATTGTTGTCACTGGGAGGCAGGATAACAGTTGTGTATTGTAGTCACCGGGAGGCAGGATAACAGAGGTGTATTGTGGTCACTGGGAAGCAGGATAACAGAGGTGTATTGTGGTCACTGGGAAGCAGGATAACAGGAGTGTATAGTGGTCACTGGGAGGCAGGATAACAGGAGTGTATAGTGGTCACTGGGAGGCAGGATAACAGGAGTGTATAGTGGTCACTGGGAGGCAGGATAACAGGAGTGTATAGTGGTCACTGGGAGGCAGGATAACCGGGAGGCAGGAGTGTATAGTGGTCACTGGGAGGCAGGATAACAGGAGTGTATGTATTGTGGTCACTGGGAGGCAGGATAACAGGAGTGTATAGTGGTCACTGGGAGGCAGGATAACAGAGGTGTATTGTAGTCACAGGGAGGCAAGATAACAGTTGTGTATTGTAGTCACCGGGAGGCAGGATAACAGAGGTGTATTGTGGTCACTGGGAAGCAGGATAACAGAGGTGTATTGTAGTCTGGCAAGATAACAGTGGTGTGTTGTAGTCACAACAACGTGAGGCAGGATAACAGAGGTGTATTGTGGTCACTGGGAAGCAGGATAACAGAGGTGTATAGTGGTCACTGGGAGGCAGGATAACAGGAGTGTTTAGTGGTCACTGGGAGACAGGTTAACAAGAGTGTATAGTGGTCACTCGGAGGCAGGATAACAGGAGTGTATAGTGGTCACTGGGAGACAGGTTAACAGGAGTGTATAGTGGTCACTGGGAGGCAGGATAACAGGAGTGTATAGTGGTCACTGGGAGGCAGGATAACAGGAGTGTATAGTGGTCACTGGGAGGCAGGATAACAGGAGTGTATAGTGGTCACTGGGAGGTAGGATAACAGGAGTGTATAGTGGTCACTGGGAGGCAGGATAACAGGAGTGTATAGTGGTCACTGAGAGGCAGGATAACAGGAGTGTATAGTGGTCACTGGGAGGCAGGATAACAGGAGTGTATAGTGGTCACTGGGAGACAGGATAACAGGAGTGTATAGTGGTCACTGGGAGAGGGGGAAAAGTAGTGCTCACTTACCCTTGTAATGGTGACCCGCACCAGAGGAGTGAGGTCTGGGGTGCACCAAGCCTGCTTCAGGAGGTTGAGGCCGTGGGAAGTGGTCGTGAGCGGCGCCCCTGCTGCCACCAGGGCTCTGACGATCCTATGGCGGTTACTGGTGATGGCGGAGCCTAGGGCAGAGGTCGACCATTCTCCCACGGGCTCCAGCGGCGACCCCTTCTGCAGCAGCTTTACTGCTTCTTTGACGTCGTCACTCTGGCTGATGACGATGAGCAGCTTTTCGTACAGGTTTTCGGGTGACTCTTTAACATCTGTGATTGTTTTCATATACTTGTGCCCTGCCCGTAGGACCATCTTGTTATTTACTAGTTTCAGCAGCTCGCGGTGATGATTCTCTTGCGCCAGGTCAGCGGGAGTCTCACCCGCCCAGGTCAGCACATTTTGGTACACTCCGCACTCCATCACCAAGATATTCACCACATCTGCCCTGCCGACCTCCGCCGCCCAGTGCAGAACCGTCCTGCCAGTGGCGTCCTGGTGGTGGCCGTCGTTATGTTGTGGGATGTTGGACTTAAACGATTGACGTTGATTGTCATCGAGCCACTGTAATAAGATGGTGTATTCCTCCTCGCAGCGCCGCCAACTCCCGCGCTGTAAACATCAACATTGTTATTCATAAACACACTACTCACCAAACATTTTCGTGTTTTCTAAACGTGCTAAAAGCGACATTTCATTGTTTTGGGCACGTTTTAAATTACGTTTAATATACGCGTTTTGAGAATTTGTAAAGACGAGTATAAAACGTGAGGTCATAACGTTTTAATAAAACGTGTTTTAAATGTTATGATATAACGTTTTGAAGCAAAGGTTTTTAAAAGGTTAACTCTAATTATTAATAATTAGTAATATTGGATTTATTAGGTATAATTATCTTTATTCTGAGAGGAGTTCGGGAAGGTGGTAGGTGCTGAGGGAGGTCGAGAAGACTGAGGAGGTACGTGCTGAGAGGGATCCAGGAAGGTGGAGGTAGTAGGTGATGAGAAAGAGGTAAAGAGGAGTTGACAACACATACCTCTACCGTCTGTATCTCAGCAGCTGGGTCTCGGGGAGACAGTGTGGTTGTCTCAGCAGCTGGGTCTTGAGGAGACAGTGTGGTTGTCTCAGCAGCTGGGTCTTGAGGAGACAGTGTGGTTGTCTCAGCAGCTGGGTCTTGAGGAGACAGTGTGGTTGTCTCAGCAGCTGGGTCTTGAGGAGACAGTGTGGTTGTCTCAGCAGCTGTGTCTTGAGGAGACAGTGTGGTTGTCTCAGCAGCTGGGTCTTGAGGAGACAGTGTGGTTGTCTCAGCAGCTGGGTCTTGGGCAGACAGTGTGGTTGTCTCAGCAGCTGGGTCTCGGGGAGACAGTGTGGTTGTCTCAGCAGCTGGGTCTTGAGGAGACAGTGTGGTTGTCTCAGCAGCTGGGTCTTGAGGAGACAGTGTGGTTGTCTCAGCAGCTGGGTCTTGGGCAGACAGCGAGGTGATCTCAGCTGGACGAGACAGCTTCCTCAGCCACCACTGCACAAGGTGCCAGCCAGCCACCTCCGCCTCCTCCATAGGTGTGAATCCCTTTATGTTCTTGGCCTGAGTGTCGAGTCCGGCCATCACAAGGTACTCAGCCACCTCCAGCGCTCCAGTAGCAGCTGCTATGTGTAGGGCTGTGCTCTTACATTTGTCTACTGCGTGACGGTCACACACTACTGCGTGAGGGCCACACTCTACTGGATTCAGCAACACTCGGACAACACCTTCGTGGTTACTTAAGGCAGCGAGGTGTAGTGGTGTCATGTCATCGTTGTCACGAGAGTTAGGGTCAGCGCCGGCACGGAGTAGCGTCTCCACACATCTCTCATGACCTTTGACGGCTGCCACATGAAGAGCGGTGTTCCCTGCAAAACAACCCACCAGCTGTTAGTGACGCAACGCAATCCACCAGGTGTTACTGAGTGCAACACAGCCCACAATGTGTTAGTAACGCAATACAAACCCCCCAAGTGTTAGTGCCATTCCGAGTTTTACATATAACCCAATTGAGTATTATGATAGAGTGATTTCATTGTGTATCTGAAGTTGGATTGTACGGTTGATAAACTATTTACTTACACCATAGTTCTTAGGTGTCATATGCAAATCTTGGACTGGCTTATATATATATATATATATATATATATATATATATATATATATATATATATATATATATATATATATATATATATATATATATATATATATATATATATATATATATATATATATATATATATATATATATATATATATATATATATATATATATATATATATATATAGTATATTTTGGTAGCAGTCTTTCCTGTAGACATATATATTATTAAATATGACCGAAAAAGTAAGATTAATAATTCTAACACGAAATTTCTCAATATTTCTTATATTTCTTTTCACTGTTGATGGTAACTGAAAAATCAATTTTCCAAAATTCATTTTTATTTCTAGTCTGACGCGATACTTGAATGCCTTCGTAATAACTTATTACATTTTCAAAGACTTTAGTTTACACACACACAACTATAACCTGTAAACACTAAACAGAGTTTAAACAGCTTCGATTTTATACCTGCATTTGGGTGAGGTGATATGTTACAACAGTTTTGGATGAGATGAAAACAAACTTTCAAAACAAGACAGAACACGAAACAATGGGTATAATATTTTGTAAGTTAAAGGGAAGAATGGAAGTAACTGCAAAGGGCCTATTGGCCCATATTTCTTGGTGCTTCTATATTGATGCGGAGTCTTGAAGTGGGTAGAATATAGTTGTGCATTAATTGGCTGTTGATTGCTGGTGTCGACTTCTTAATGCGTAATGTGCTCTGCTTGAGAGCACAAGGATATATATATATATATATATATATATATATATATATATATATATATATATATATATATATATATATATATATATATATATATATATATATATATGTCGTACCTAATAGCCAGAACGCACTTCTCAGACTACTATTCAAGGCCCGATTTATCTAATAAGCCAAGTTTTCATGAATTAATGTTTTTTCGTCTACCTAACCTACCTAACCTAACCTAACCTAGCTTTTTTTGGCTACCTAACCTAACCTTACCTATAAATATAGGTTAGGTTAGGTTAGGTAGGGTTGGTTAGGTTCGGTCATATATCTACGTTAATTTTTACTCCAATAAAAAAAAATTGACCTCATACATAGAGAAAAGGGTTGCTTTATCATTTCATAAGAAAAAAATTATAGTAAATATATTAATTCAGGAAAACTTGGCTTATTAGGCAAATCGGGCCTTGAATAGTAGGCTGAGAAGTGAGTTCTGGCTACTAGGTACGACATATATATATATATATATATATATATATATATATATATATATATATATATATATATATATATATATATATATATATATATATATATATATATATATTTACCTGGAAGGGGTACCACCTCTGGTACAAGTGTAGGGACCCATAGCCTCGGAGAAGAAAATAAAGAGTACTCAGAAGTGGAGTCTTGAAGTGTCCACTTCAAGACTCCGCTCCAATATAGAAGCATCAAGAAATATGGGCCAATAGGCCCTCTGCAATTACTTCCATTCTTACCTTCAATACCCATTGTTTCGTGTTGTATCCTGTGTTGAAAGTTTTGTTCACATCATCCAAAACTGTTGTAACATATCACCTCACCCAAAATGCTGGTATAAAATGAAAAATGAAAGCTGTTTAAATCATAGCATAGTAAGAACTCTGTTTAGTGTTTGCAGGTAATAATTGTGTGTTTGTAAACTAAAAGTCTTTGAAAATGTAATAAGTTATTACGAAACGCGTTCAAGTGTCGCGTCAGACTCGAAATAAAAATGAATTTTGAAGAATTGATTTTTCAATTACCATCAAGAAACATAAGATAGATGAAGAAAATTCGTGTTAGAATTGTTAATCTTACTTTTTCGGTCGTATTTAATAATATTTATATATATATATATATATATATATATATATATATATATATATATATATATATACGTATATATATATATATATTTATACATACGTATATATATATATATATATATATATATATATATATATATATATATATATATATATATATATATATATATATATATATATATATATATATATATTTCTATTAACAATATACATATATATATATATATATATATATATATATATATATTTATATATATATATATATATTATATATATATATATATATATATATATATATATATATATATATATATATATATATATATATATATATATATATATATATATATATATATATATATATATATATATATATATATATATATATATTACCCCATTATCTCATATTACTTTTACCTCAGCTTTCCAATCCCTCCAGCCTCTAACCCTCTCCCTCTCTCTCCTTCCACACCCCACAATAAGAGGGAGACAAGGAGTGGGAAAGGGTGGAAGGAGCGAGAATGGGAGAGGAAAAGGGGAAAAGCAGGAAGAGGGGAGAAGGGGAAAGAAATGGATAGGAATGTGGGATTGTAGGAGTAACAAACTATCCCGGGCACCGCCGGGTAAACTGATAAACACAAAAATTAACCAAAAGCAAAATATGCAAACAAACAAATATATATAATAACCTACATTTATTCCATTAGAGTTCAACTGTGTGAACACACACACACACACACACACACACACACACACACACACACACACACACACACACACACACACACACACACACACACACACACACACACACACACACACACACACACACTAGATATGTCACCAGCGGAGTCCCTCAGTGCTTTGTACGCAGACCCATCCTGTTTCTAATATATGTAAACGATCTTCCAGAGGGTATAGACTCATTCCTCTCCATAATGCAAAAATTATGAGAAGAATTAAGACAGATGAAGATAGACAGAGATTACAGGACGTCCTGGACAAACTGGAGGAATGGTCTAGAAAATGGCTACTAAAGTTCAACTTAGGAAAGTGTAAAATAATAAAATTAGGCGAAGGGAGCAGAAGGCTGAACACAAGGTTTAATTTTGGAGGTAAAATCCTGCAAGAGTGGAATAGAGAGAAAGATCTGGGGCTTGATATCACACTGAACCTGTCCGTAGAGGCCCACATCAAAAGGATATCAGCGGCATATGCTAGATTGGCCATCATAAGAACTGCCTTTAGAAACTTGTGTAAGGAATCGTTCTGGACCCTGTATACCACATATGTCAGACCAATCCTGGAATATGCAGCTCCAGCCTGGAGTCCATACCTAGTTAAACACAAGCCAAAGTTAGAGAAGGGTCAGCGGAATGCCACCAGACTCGTCCTGGAACTGAGAGGTATGAGCTACGAAGAAAGGCTAAAGGAGCTGAACCTCACGTCCCTGGAAAGCAGAAGAGTAAGGGGAGACATGATAACCACCTACAAAATTCTCAGGGGAATTGACAGGGTGGACAAAGACAAACTCTTTCGCATGGGTGGAACACGAACAAGGGGGCCACAGGTGGTAACTGAGTGCCCAAATGAACCACAGAGATATTAGAAAGAACTTTTTTTAGTGTCAGAGTAGTTGACAAATGGAATGCATTAGGAAGTGATGTGGTGAAGGCAGACTCCATACACAGTTTCAAGTGTAGATATGATAGAGCTCACTAGGCTCAGGAACCTGTACATCAGCTGAGTGACAGTTGAGTGGTGGGACCAAATAACCAGAGCTCAACCTCCGCAAGCAAAACTAAGTGAGTACAACTAGGTGCTTCAAGTGTGGTGATTCTTACCTTCCTCGGTTTTGGCTTCCAGGTTGGCGCCTTTATCTATCAGCTCCCTCACTACCTCGTTATGGCCTTTGATAGCCGCCCAATTTAAAGGTGTTTGGGAGGAGGTCCCGCCACCGTCCACTGGAATTCCCTTCTCTATCAGCAGGGTGACCAGGCCGACGTGGCCCAGGTCAGCCGCATGAGTCAGAAAGCAGAGTGTCTTCTTGTGAGCATCCCTAAGCGGATTGACATGGATGTCCACACCCCTGTCGATGGCCCTCCTGGCACCCTCTTCGTCACCATCATTAATGGCTCTCTCTAATACCTGCAAGGTGATGGATGATTCAGTGTGGTTGGGGATGAGAGGAAATGGGGAGGGAGGAATGAAAAGAAGAGAGGGAAGCAAATGGATGGTATTCTACTTGTATAGGGGAACACTGTTGCATGTTCTGATATCGTTTGACATCTTCCTGTCCTATTTTATATTCTTCTCATCAATGCTCTTTCATCTATATATAGACTTAGAGCATGTCTCCCATTGTCCTATATCACTCACGACACGTAATTTTATTTAAATTCTACTAACATTTCTTTGTAAGAAAGATTTCAGATACTAAAGATTAGCTTTGTCAACCTATGTTGAACGTTTCCGAGAATTTTGCTATATTATGCAATATAGTGACAAAAATGCAACAGCATAATCTGCGGGAAGCCTTTCTGGTGTAAGATATAACTGAGAGACAATACTTGCTTCCATTGCTAGCACTTCTAGATATAAAAACAATTATCCATTTTCCTTATTTCAGGCATTTATGAATTGTTGTCTTTAGGTCTTCACTATTACCCCCCAATTCTTTCACATTTTAATTTACAAATACCTGTATCTTGCAGATGAAGAGTCACAATAACGTGGCTGAAAAATGATGACCAGACCACACACTAGAAAGTGAAGAGACGACGACGTTTCGGTCCGTCCTGGACCATTCTCAAGTCGCTAACCACAATCGATTTGATAATGGTTCAGAACGAACCGAAACGTCGTGGTCTCTTCACTTTCTAGTGTGTAGTTTGGTTAACACCTATATCTTCATGCTGATAAAGAGATATACTATATTTGCTCAAACTTAGGATTTAGTGTTGACCGAACCACACACTAGAAAGTGAATGGACGACGACGTTTCGGTCCGTTCTGGACTCTTCTCAAGACGATTGGGATGAGGGAAAGATTGATAAAGATTAAGCCACCCAAGAGGTGGCACGGGCATGAATAGCCCGTAAGATATGAGGGAAGGAGGCGAAAGCAATAAATAGGCAGGAAAGAGAGGTGAGGAGAAGGAAATCTTAGAGGAAGAAAAAAAACAAGGCAAAAGGAACGAAAGGTAAGGTGTAATAAAGATAGAAATAGGAATAAGAAAGGGATCGCAAGAGAAAACACAGGAAAGACAAAAAAAAGAAAGATATGGAAGGGTAAGCTTATGTTAGGTCACGTTTGTTAGAAAGTTTAGAGCATTTTCACTATATACTCTGAAAGGGAAGAGTCAACAGCAACAAAGTCAACAGCAACAAAGCCAGGACTCAAGTTCATGTTGGGAACGTTGTGAATTAGAGCCGATTCAACAAGCCGGCGTCTAAGTAGAGTAGAGGCAGGAAAGATTATTTGGGAGAAAGACCAATCTTCCTCCAAAATAATCTTTCCTGCCTTTACTCTACACAGACACCGTCTTGTTGAATCGGCTCTGATACACAACATGAACTTGAGTCCTGGATCTGTTGTTGTTGGCTATGTTGTTGTTGTTGGTGATGGGACGTACTGGGAGTGGGTGGGACGTACTGGGAGTGGGTGGGACGTGCTGGGAGTAGGAGGACGTGCTGGGAGTGGGAGGACGTGCTGGGAGTGGGTGGGACGTGCTGGGAGTGGGTGGGACGTGCTGGGAGTAGGAGGACGTGCTGGAAGTGGGTGGGACGTGCTGGGAGTAGGAGGACGTGCTGGGAGTGGGAGGACGTGCTGGGAGTGGGTGGGACGTGCTGGGAGTGGGTGGGACGTGCTGGGAGTGGGTGGGACGTGCTGGGTGTGGAAGGGACGTGCTGGAAGTGGGTGGGACGTGCTGGGAATGGGTGCGACGAGTTAGGAGTGGGTGGGACGTGCTGGGAGTGGGTGGGACGTCCTGGGAGTGGGTGGGACGTGCTGGGAGTGGGTAAGACGTGCTGGGAGTGGGTAAGACGTGCTGGGAGTGGGTGGGACGTGTTGGGAGTGGGTGATACGTGCTGGGAGTGAGTGGGATGTGCTGGGAGTGGGTGTGACGTGCTGGGAGTGGGTGAAACGTGCTGGGAGTGGGTGGGACGTGCTGGGAGTGAGTGGGACGTGCTGCGATAGGTGGAACGTGCTGGGAGTGGGTGAGACGTGCTCGGAGTGGGTGGGACGTGCTAGGAGTGGGTGAGACGTGCTGGGAGTAGATAGGACGTGCTGGGAGTGGGTGGGACGTGCTGGGTGTGGGTGGGATGTGCTGGGAGTGGATGGGACGTGCTGGGAGTGGGTGGGACGTGCTGGGTGTGGGTGGGATGTGCTGGGAGTGGGTGGGACATGCTGGGAGTGGGTGGGACGTGCTGGGAATGGGCGGGACGTGCTGGGAGTGGGTGGGACGTGCTGGGAGTGAGTGGGACATGCTGGGAGTGGGTGGGACGTGCAGGGAATAGGTGGGACGTGCTGGGAGTGGGTGGGACGTGCAGGGAAAGGGTGGGACGTGCTGGGAGTGGGTGGGACGTGCTGGGAGTTGGTGAGACGTGCTGGGAGTGGATGGGACGTGCTGGGAGTGGGTAGTACGTGTTAGGAGTGGGTGGGACGTGCTGGGAGTGGATCGGACGTGCTGGGATACGTGAGACGTGCTGGGAGTGGGTGGGTCGTGCTGGGAGTGGGTGGGTCGTGCTGGGAGTGGGTGGGACGTGCTGAGAGTGGGTGGGACGTGCTGGGAGTGGATGGGACGTGCTGGGATAGGTGAGACGTGCTGGGAGTGGGTGAGACGTGATGGGAGTGGGTGTGACGTGCTGGGTGTGGATCGGACGTGCTGGGAGTGGGTGGGACGTGCTGGGTGTGGATCGGACGTGCTGGGAGTGGGTGGGACGTGCTGGGAGTGGGTGAGACGTGATGGGAGTGGGTGTGACGTGCTGGGAGTGGGTGTGACGTGCTGGGAGTGGGTGTGACGTGCTGGGAGTGGTTGGGACGTGCTGGGATATGTGAGACGTGCTGGGATACGTGAGACGTGCTGGGAGTGGGTGGGTCGTGCTGGGAGTGGGTGGGTCGTGCTGGGAGTGGGTGGGACGTGCTGGGAGTGGGTGGGACGTGCTGGGAGTGGATGGGACGTGCTGGGATAGGTGAGACGTGCTGGGAGTGGGTGGGACGTGCTGGGAGTGGGTGGGACGTGCTGGGAGTGGGTGGAACATGTTGGAAGTGAGTGGGTCGTGCTGGGAGTGGGTGAGACGTGCTGGGAGTGGGTGGGTCGTGCTGGGATAGGTGAGACGTGCTGGGAGTGGGTGGGTCGTGCTGGGAGTGGGTGTGACGTGCTGGGAGTGGGTGGGACGTGCTGGGATATGTGAGACGTGCTGGGAGTGGGTGGGATGTGCTGGGAGTGGGTGGGACGTGCTGAGAGAGGGTGGGACGTGCTGGGAGTGGGTGAGACGTGCTGGGAGTGGGTGGGACGTGCTGGGAGTGGGTGGGACGTGCTGAGAGTGGGTGGGACCTGCTGGGAGATGTGAGACGTGCTGGGAGTGGGTGGGACGTGCTGGGAGTGGGTGGGACGTGCTGGGAGTGGGTGGGACCTGCTGGGAGTGGGTGGGACCTGCTGGGAGTGGGTGGGACGTGCTGGGAGTGGGTGGGACGTGCTGGGAGTGGGTGGGACGTGCTGGGAGTGGGTGAGACGTGCTGGGAGGGGGTGGGACGTGCTGGGTGTGGGTGGGATGTGCTGGGAGTGGGTGGGACATGCTGGGAGTGGGTGGGACGTGCTGGGAATGGGCGGGACGTGCTGGGAGTGGGTGGGACGTGCTGGGAGTGAGTGGGACGTGCTGGGAGTGGGTGGGACGTGCAGGGAATAGGTGGGACGTGCTGGGAGTGGGTGGGACGTGCAGGGAAAGGGTGGGACGTGCTGGGAGTGGGTGGGACGTGCTGGGAGTTGGTGAGACGTGCTGGGAGTGGATGGGACGTGCTGGGAGTGGGTAGTACGTGTTAGGAGTGGGTGGGACGTGCTGGGAGTGGATCGGACGTGCTGGGATACGTGAGACGTGCTGGGAGTGGGTGGGTCGTGCTGGGAGTGGGTGGGACGTGCTGGGAGTGGGTGGGACGTGCTGGGAGTGGGTGGGACGTGCTGGGAGTGGATGGGACGTGCTGGGATAGGTGAGACGTGCTGGGAGTGGGTGAGACGTGATGGGAGTGGGTGTGACGTGCTGGGTGTGGATCGGACGTGCTGGGAGTGGGTGGGACGTGCTGGGTGTGGATCGGACGTGCTGGGAGTGGGTGGGACGTGCTGGGAGTGGGTGAGACGTGATGGGAGTGGGTGTGACGTGCTGGGAGTGGGTGGGTCGTGCTGGGAGTGGGTGGGACGTGCTGAGAGTGGGTGGGACGTGCTGGGAGTGGTTGGGACGTGCTGGGATAGGTGAGACGTGCTGGGAGTGGGTGGGACGTGCTGGGAGTGGGTGGGACGTGCTGGGATATGTGAGACGTGCTGGGATACGTGAGACGTGCTGGGAGTGGGTGGGTCGTGCTGGGAGTGGGTGGGTCGTGCTGGGAGTGGGTGGGACGTGCTGAGAGTGGGTGGGACGTGCTGGGAGTGGATGGGACGTGCTGGGATAGGTGAGACGTGCTGGGAGTGGGTGGGACGTGCTGGGAGTGGGTGGGACGTGCTGGGAGTGGGTGGAACATGTTGGAAGTGAGTGGGTCGTGCTGGGAGTGGGTGAGACGTGCTGGGAGTGGGTGGGTCGTGCTGGGATAGGTGAGACGTGCTGGGAGTGGGTGGGTCGTGCTGGGAGTGGGTGTGACGTGCTGGGAGTGGGTGGGACGTGCTGGGATATGTGAGACGTGCTGGGAGTGGGTGGGATGTGCTGGGAGTGGGTGGGACATGCTGAGAGAGGGTGGGACGTGCTGGGAGTGGGTGAGACGTGCTGGGAGTGGGTGGGACGTGCTGGGAGTGGGTGGGACGTGCTGAGAGTGGGTGGGACCTGCTGGGATATGTGAGACGTGCTGGGAGTGGGTGGGACGTGCTGGGAGTGGGAGGGACGTGCTGGGAGTGGGTGGGACCTGCTGGGAGTGGGTGGGACCTGCTGGGAGTGGGTGGGACGTGCTGGGAGTGGGTGGGACGTGCTGGGAGTGGGTGGAACGTGCTGGGAGTGGGTGAGACGTGCTGGGAGGGGGTGGGACGTGCTGGGAGTGGGTGGGACGTGCTGGGAGTTGGTGGGTCATGCTGGGAGTGGGTGGGACGTGCTGGGAATGGATGAGACGTGCAGGGAGGGGGTGGGACGTGCTGGGAGTGGGTGGGACGTGCTGGGAGTGGGTGGAACGTGCTAGGAGTGGGTGGGTCGTTCTGGGAGTGGGTGGGACGTGCTGGGAGTGGGTATGACGTCCTGGGAGTGGGTGGGTCGTGCTGGGAGTGGGTGTGACGTCCTGGGAGTGGGTGGGACGTGCTAGGAGTGGGTGGGTCGTGCTGGGAGTGGGTGGGACGTGCTGGGAGTGGGTGGGTCGTGCTGGGAGTGGGTGGGACGTGCTGGGAGTGGGTGGGACGTGCTGGGAGTGGGTGAGACGTGCTGGGAGTGGGTGGGACGTGATGGGAGTGGGTGTGACGTGCTGGGAGTGTGTGGAACATGTTGGAAGTGAGTGGGACGTGCTGGGAATAGGTGAGACGTATAGCTAACAGGTGGGACATGCTTGGAGTGGGTGGGACGTGCTAGGAGTGGGTGGGACGTGCTGGGAGTGCGTGGGACGTGCTGGGAGTACGTGGGATGTGCTAGGAGAGGGTGGGACGTGCTGGGAGTGGGTGGGACGTGCTAGGAGTGGGTGGGACGTATAGCGAACGGGTGGGACATGCTTGGAGTGGGTGGGACGTGCTTGGAGTAGGTGGGACGTGCTGGGAGTGGGTGGGACGTGCTGGGAGTGGATGGGACGTGCTGGGAGTGGGTGGGATGTGCTGGGAGTGGATGGGACGTGCTAGGAGTGGGTGGGACGTATAGCGAACGGGTGGGACATGCTTGGAGTGGGTGGGACGTGCTTGGAGTGGGTGGGACGTGCTGGGAGTGGGTGGGACGTGCTGGGAGTGGCTGGGACGTGTAGCGTACGGGTGTGACGTGCTGGGAAGTAGTGAACATGGTGGGGAGCGGAGGTTATTAACGTGTCCTGCAGGCATTACCCTTGGCGAGTAACTGTGTACTTACTGGGAATTTTGGGACACGCATCAGATCGTCCTGCTGGAAGTGTTTTGATGGATCAATGATTAAAGTTTTCACTGAACTGAGAGGAGAACCCGACTTTCAGGACACATAATTTGAGTAACGGTCTTAGTTCCGTCGACGACTTCACTCGGTTAATTCTTATCAGATATCTCTTGTTATCATAAGCTACCTCCAGATAATGCACTACCCTGATATAACATAGATATTGTGCTCTAGATATGATAGAATGCAAAAGGCTTCGGAACCTGCACCAAAATTGATTGACAGTTGAGAAGCGGGACCGAAGCACCGAAGCTCAACCCCCGTAAACACAACTAGGTGAGTGCACATCCTCACACAATGCTGCCATATGCCAAAAATCGTCATTCTGCTACATTCTTACATATTTTCAAGCAAAGGCTTTCCATTTTCCTCTTTTTATACAGATTGGTACAGGAGTAGACGAATCCTGAATCTTGTTAGCAGTTTTAAAGTTTTTTATAGTTATAAATCACGAGATTGACGTATCTGGCAGTCTCCAGGTCTCTGTCCGCTTATATTGTTTTGGTTTTAAATTCTTACTAATCATAACTCCCAGATCCATTTCGCAATCAGACTTCGCAATCTCAACACCATCTAGCTCGTATCTTGTAACTCTATCATCATTACCTAGCCTCTAACCTTACATTTGTCAGCATTAAACTGCATCTGCCAATCTTTTGGCCATTTCAAATCCCTATTTAGATAGTCTTGAAGTGATATTTTATTGTTGCCGCCGGAGGCGGCTAGTTTATTGTGCACCCCATACTCATCTTGTGAGCGGTAGCGCAAGAAGCATTACAGAGGACACAAAAGGTCTTTATCAGACCTCATCTTAGATTATTACATAAATAATTTCACCTGTCATTCTCATCTTATAGATACAATGTCAGCTAGTTACAGAAAAAGTGCTATTTCAAGAGCTATATATTTACAGCAAGTCATTATACATTAATGGTAGGTCTTATCGCTAATACATAATAGTTTGACCAATGGATATATATATGTCAAAGGGAAGCTTCTGTTTATTATTAGTCTTCACAATACACTACTTGTTTCTTAATCTCATATGTCGTTTATGTACTGGAAACGAAATATGGATACAGTGCAAGGATTTCAGGTAATTTATCCATGTTAATAAGATAGGTTGCCATATCATACAGAGTGAGCTTAGATCTATCTCTAAATGGCTAAAATTTACTACAATCCAAGATATAGTGTTGGAGTGTGTGTCCCTGTCTTTGTCCACACACTTTACACTTTATTTCATCTAGATCCCTATACAAGCCCAACTGCCAGAGATACTTGTAGCCGAGTCTTATACGAGCTGTGACAACATCTGTTAGTCTACTGACTTTGTTACTTGCCCCGTACACATGTTTTACTTCACGCATTTCTTTGTGATGAACAATGGACCTGCTAGTTCCAGTTTGCACTGTTCTACTTTCTTCAAAATCATTCAGGAGTTCCCGTCTAATGACACTTTTAAGGGACCTATTTGGTAACTCAAGATTCCGTTCACTACTGTCTTTATTTACTGCAGCCTTAGCAAGGGCGTCAACTTTGTCATGTTCCTGCAGGCCAATGTGAGAAAGAATCCACAACATTTTTATGTTGTGGATTCCATGTTGTGATCTTGTGATAAACCCATGTTGTGAATCATATATTAATTAAAGTTTTTCAAGATGAAGACGAATGGTATTTGCAGTTATCAATTCAAGTAACTTTACCTCAATAGACGTCAAGCTAATTGGCCGATACTTAGACACAAGTGTTCTATCTTCTTTCTTGAAAATTGGAACATTAACAACTTTCCACGACTCTGGCACTCTGCCTGACTCTGAGGAATTATTGAATACTGGCTGTACCCGGCCACGCATTGCTGTGGCTCAGCAACGCGTGCGTGTTGCTGAACCACAGCAACCATCCCCTGCCCCCCCCCGTTCTCCCCCACCATTCCCCATTCCCCGTCCCCTTGTCCTCCCCCACCATTCCCCCCTCTTCCCCATCCCCTCGTCCTCCCAACCATTCCCTACTCCACCGTCCCCTCGTCCTCCCAATCACTCCCCAATCCCCTTGTCCTCCCCACCATCCCCCACTCCCCTGTCCCCACCATCCCCAAATCACTCGTCCCCTCTTCCTCCCCACCACTACCCCCTCCCCTGTCCCTAGTCCTCCCCACCATTCCCCACTCCCTTGTCCGATGCATTCCCAAATGATCTGATGTTCTCATCAGAAAATTAGGTACATCAAATGATCTGATGTTCCCATCACTGAAGAATAAGAACAGTTAAAAAAACGAAATGAAAAACAATGAAAAAAAATAAACTATACTCACGAAATGAACGGTACGGTAAACAACACAGCTCAATTCCAACGCAATGTCACTCAAAGTAATGAAATTAAAATGAAAAAAGACGAAATCAATGAAAAATCAATTTATCAATGCAATCGGAAACATTGAAATGGAATCAAAACATATTTCGAATAGCGTGTATTGCTCTTATGTGCAACAGATGGTGCTATTTAAAAAAAATGGTTTTATCTGTCACAGGTGAGATTGAAATTGAAATTGAAATAAGTTTATTGAGGTAAAATACACACAAAGGGATGAGGTAGCTCAAGCTATTCTCACCCCGTTCAGTACATCGTGTTAATACATACATAGACACACATCACAAGCAATAAACGTATTACCGAACATTCTGAGAGATAAGCATATACATTTCCTCCTTCACAAGTAGTATGGTATCAGACGTACACACAAATACTTTTATGACCTAGGTATACTGTATAGACAATTTGCAAGAGACATGCAGATAATTCAACAAAAGATTACAGTCTTGGTGCAAAATTCTTGTATCTCTCAAGAATATCATCAACCTTTCCGTTGTGACACATCCAGGCTATTTGTTCAGGAACAGTCCTTATCTCAGTGTTTTTATATACATTAATCAACGGACAATCAAGAACATAATACGGAAAGGTTGATGATATTCTTGAAAGATATATGAATTTTGCACTAGACTGTAATAATTGGGCAAGGGTGTGAGACCTTAACATACCACATAGTTTACACTTCATGAACACCTATCCCATATTCCCAGTAATATTTGTACCCAAGCCTAAGCCGCATGTACACAGAGTCACTCCAAGCATTTCTCCTTTTACCATAAGTGAAATGGGTGTTTTGACTCACATACATGTAGTGTTGCATGGTTTGACTTCTCTCATACATTATATCTCTCCTCTCCACTTCTGCCTGTGCCTGAATATTTCTGATTTTGCTTCTATTTGTCTCATTGTGAAATCACATTCAATGTCAACTTGTGGTTTTGATGTGGCACGTTTGGCCAAGTCATCCGCCACCTCGTTGAGCACTATTCCAACATGAGATGGAATCCACATGAATTTCACACTATGACCTTTCAGCTGTATCTCAGTTATCCTTTTCTTACAATCCTCAACTATGGACATGAAGACTGGGTTTCGACTGTTTAAGGACTCAAGTGCTCCTCGGCTATCAACAAATACAAAATTTTATAAGTGAGTCATAACGACAAAAAGCATTTTTGTCGTCATGACGTACTTCCTCCAAACACACCAGAATGGCCTGCAGTTCAGCTTGTGTGGATGATATATAATTACTAAGCCGGAGTTCAATTATCCTGTCCACAGTCCCAAACTCAGTATATTCTCTTATTAGGACACCACACCCTGCCCTGCCATCCTCCGCCACCGACCCGTCACAATATACATATTTATTTATTTATTTATTTTATTTATTTATATATATACAAGAAGGTACATTGGGTTTGTGAGAATACATTGGATAGTACAATATTTACACTCTTGTAAAGCCACTAGTATGCGCAGCGTTTCGGGCAGGTCCTTAATCTAACAGATAATTTTAATTAGGTAATTTCTATCAGAATTGATAAATGATAGATACATTGCAAGAGAAAAATGAGATGAGAGAGCTTAGTAAGTATATTAAAGCACATTGTTATATTAAAGCTCTGATTGATTACATTGACAGCTTGATTAGTAATTTAAACAAGATTAATAGACACCATACAGCAGATTGACAGCACATAAAGACAGCAATGATCACAATGGTAAAGATGTTCAGATTGGGTACATAAAGATTGGGAGACTGGGTAGCAATAGATACAGATAAACAAGATTAATAAACACCATACAGCAGATTGGCAGCACATATAAGAAGACAGCAATGATCACAATGGTAAAGATGTTCAAATTGGGAACATAAAGGTTGGGAGATTGGGTAGCAATAGATACAGTGCAATTTTAAGGCAAAAAGTGAAAAACTATGAAGATGAAATTAGGTACTTTTTAGTATTGATTTTGAATGATGTAAAAGTTGGACAGCTTTTCAATTCAATAGGGAGTAAGTTCCATAGACTGGGTCCCTTTATTTGCATAGTGTTTACACAGATTAAGTTTAACTCTGGGGATATCAAAGAGATATTTATTTCTGATGTGGTGATAATGGGTCCTATTACATCTGTCCAGGAAGAGTTTCAGAGCAGGATTTGCATTTAAGAACAGGGTTTTGTAAATGTAGTTGACACAAGAGAATTTATGGAGTGAGTTTATGTTTAGCATGTTTAGGGAGTTAAACAAGGGGGCTGAGTGTTGTCTGAAAGCAGAATTTGATATTATTCTGATAGCAGATTTTTGCTGGGTGATGATGGACTTGAGGTGGTTTGCAGTGGTTGGACCCCATGCACAGATACCATAGTTGAGATAGGGATAGATTAGTGCATAATATAGAGAGATGAGAGCAGAGTTAGGTACATAATATCTGATTTTGGAGAGTATACCAACTGTTTTAGAGACTTTCTTAGTTATGTGTTGTATGTGGGTACAGAAGTTGATTCTCTTGTCTAGGAATAGGCCAAGAAACTTTCCATCATTTTTATTGCTAATGTTTACATTGTCTATCTGAAGCTGAATTGCATTTGTAGATTTGCTTCCAAATAGGATGTAGTAGGTCTTTTCTATGTTAAGTGTTAGTTTGTTGGTTGACATCCATAAGTGGACTTTTTTTAGTTCATTATTAACAACATCATTTAATGTATGTGGGTTGGGGTTGGA